GACAATAAACTACATCCGCATCCAGGGTATGACGATAAACTACGTCCAACTGGAAGGCCTCTGATCAGGAGGTTTTGAGGAGCGTGGAACCACCTCTTAATTGCTGGTGTTCCTGGGTCCACCCTGACCTGTGCTGGTAGCACTTGTTAGGGCCCAAGCTATGGGCAAATATTTAACCCCGAAACTGAGGTAAAAATCATTATGAAAGTGTAAAAATAGGTTTCAATACCAGAAATACTTTGTAAACAATTATTACCAGAAATAGATTTCTGTAGAAAAAAAACTATTACTAGCAATATATTTTTGAAAAGAAATATTACCAGTAATACATTTTTTGAAAAAAAAAATTATCAGTAATACATGTTTTAAAATAAAATTACCAGCTATACATTTTTGAGAAAAAAGAATATTACCAGAAATAGATTTTTGACAAACATTATGATTTTTGACAAATATTACCAAGAAAAAATGTCGGCATTAAATAACCCATTGATGTTGATTATGCCGTAAAATAAAACAAACCAAAATTATTCTAGACACAGTAGCAATCAGAATGTAGTTTAGTGTTAAAGAAAACCCTAAACCTATTAAAAAATACGATATGAACTAAAGAGATAAACACATTTATATGAAAGAGAGATAATTCAAAATTAAAGATATATTAAAATAACCAATATATGAGAAAAATAAGAAAAATATTATAATTAATATATTGAAACGATTATCTTAGGATGAAGGTCTCATTTAACATCTACATTTAAATCAACATATTCTAAATTAAACCTATATTAAATAATTCCCATCTACAAGGAACAAAAATCAATAGCTCCGTTCACCGCAAGGAAAGTTGTCTCCCTGTGCCGCGCCATGAAGTTTTTCTCCCCGGAATCGATCCTCGAAATCTATAAATCAACCATTCGCCCTTGCATGGAGTATTGCTGCCATATATGGTCTGGAGCCTCTTCTAATTGTCTCGGGGTTCTTGATAAGATCCAGAGGCGGATATGCAATGCAATTGGCCCTGATCTGGCATCTCGTCTGCAGTCGTTCTCTCACAGATAATTTGATAATATTTTGAGCGATACAAGTTTTACTAATTAGCCCATAGCTTGGCGGAGAAGATGTGGATTCATTACTTTCCTGTGGGCACTTGCGCGTAAGTGAGTAAAACGTATCCAACTGGAATTAGAGCTCGGCTCTCCGATTAACAATTCCGAGCCATTATCCATTACACCACCCGCACATCTAAACGCACAGGACTTGGTAATTTCAATCGGTCACCCTTTTAGGTACTGACCAGGCTCGACGTTGCTTACCTTCATTGATCCCATGATCGACGTGTCAACTTGAAGTGGCCGTAAACCAAGATGGCACTGAGGCGTGAAACTAACAATCACCACGCAGTGTTGATTCTTTTGTCCACACTGTTTTACCTATGAATGTTCTATTTCTGATACTGAACACACATCCTTATGAATATAGCACACACAAACACGTATATATATATATATATATATATATATATATATATATATTATAATAATAAGGTGTCAAGAGGCAGTTCATATTGGAAAGATGAGGACAATAGTCCGAATAATGTAAATAATATAGTATTTAATAAGACATTTTTTTATCAACTGAAACTATTTTCTAATGAATGTAGTATTTTAAGATGGAAAATCGGGTTAGATATCAAATTTGATCATCTTGCCGTTAGCGAAGCGAAACTTAGCTTGAAATTCTTATAGAAAATTTCAGGCCAAATTGAGTTCAAATTCCAACCTAATCTGTTGCGTTTATTTTCGCATTAATGACCATGGAAAAGACATGAATTTATCATTTTTGGAATTATTATCATTGGTAAGAAGGAAACTTCTTACTGCTGTAAACAGCTACAATCCAAGTTCCCGAACCCTTACTCGCCGTAAACGAGTACGTCAGCTAGTCTATTATAATAAAATTAGAACATTAGAACATAAGTAATACATAGATTAACAAAATACCTGTATACATTTCTGAGATGAGGTATTGTAATTATTTACACTATTTACATTGTTCGGACTGTTGTCCTCATCTTTGTTGCCATATTCACAACGTTTCCGCCGTTGTACGCTCCGGCCTTCTTCAGGTGATATACGTTGGAATTTCGAACGCAACCAACATAGGTAGATTGTTCTAGTTCCACATGCCATGCCTTTTCTGGATATCTCAGTTTCAGTAAAATCCCTTTAGTAAATCAATTCTCAATATTTTGCTGTGGCTAGGAAGTGAACTCACAGCTCTTTGAGTGAAATCACTTGTTTGATTACTTAAATCATTGGGTCATGTGGACTAAATAAACACATTGCCATCTACCGTAATCTTTAAACTGAATTTGCTAAAAATAAATGATTTAAGGACTTATGTTTATATGGACTTTTGTTCTTAATTTAATGTGAGGAACACTCCCCGAATGTTTGTAAAAATATTTGTGATGCATCATATAATATATATATATATATATATATATATATATATATATATATATATATATATATATGTATGTATGTATGTATGTATGTATGTATGTATAAAATAAAAAGAAAGAACAGTAAGATATATAATCCGGTGTTCTTATAGGTATTTTTATTTTTACAAAATAATGCTCGATGTAAATTTACAGAGCATTAATATTATAAATTAATTGATTTAAAATATGGTTTTCAGCTACACAGTTCTAACCATGTTTCTAAAATGGAATATATATATATATATATATATATATATATATATATATATATATATATATATATATATATTGAAAGAAAGAGTCTGTTAGGGTGAGTGAGAAAGAAATTGATTTTAATCGAAAAGATGAATAGATCATAGATAGATAGATAGATAGATAGATAGATAGATAGATAGATAGATAGATAGATAGATAGATATGAACAGGATCACAAAGACAGATAGAAAGAGACCAGATAGCTGAAATTAATTAGATAGATAGATAGATAGATAGATAGATAGATAGATAGATAGATAGATAGATAGATAGATATGAACAGGATCACAAATACAGATAGGAAGAGACGAGATAGATAATGAAATGAATGGGCTAGCTAGCTAGCTAGCTAGCTAGCTAGATAGATAGATAGAAAAATGAAATGAATCTGATAGATAGATAGATAGATAGATAGATAGATAGATAGATAGATAGATAGATATGAACAGGATCACAAAGAGGAAGAGACGAGATAGATTTAGTTAAATGTCGACAGCTGAAGTTTAATTTGTTATTAATGTCTGTTCTTTCTAAGAAAAACACAATCGTCTCAAAGTGACAGATTTTTCCTCACTTGTCCGTCGATGTTGGGCATTCAGCTTTTATGAAAGAACATAGTCCTCGAGTAACAAAAACCCTGTGACTGCTGTAGGCTCTTTTACACGACTGGAATGCAAAAACGATGGCATTAGAAAGGTCACACCTCTTTGACCGAATCATTTGATTGGACCTAAAAACTGGCTCGTATGAAATCGAAATACATTCATCAAATTTCTCTTTTATACTCTCCGGCATTCCAGGTTTTTGTCAATGGCTGTTTACTTTCTACCACCGACTGTAAAATCTTCATTAATCATCCATTTTTTTTCTTCTTACGAGCAAAATCCGATGTGGGCTTGATCTCAAATGTCAGAATGCTAGCCTTGGGAAATTTTTGACTTGAGTCAAAAGTTATGAATATTCACGATGTTTCGGCCGTCATACGCTCCGGCCTTCTTCAGGTGACTGGAATTTCGAATCGAATCCTTTATTTCATCCACAAAAACGTGAAGAGTTGAGTCCAAAGGAAGATAATGAATAATTAATTCTTGTTCTTTTATTGTCCTCTCTCCTTAATAGTGTTACATTCTGGCTAAGCTGAAAACTTCACCAAAACAACAACCGGTTTTTCCGTTTACAGGAAATGGAACGATTATATTGAATCAATTTCTAGGTCTGCTGCTAGGAAAGTTGCTTCACTGTATTGAGTCAGAGAATTTTTGTCTCCAGAATCTATCTTACGTATTTATAAGCCTACCATTTGTCCATGCTTAGAATATTGCTGTCATATCTGGTTTGGTGATTCTGTTATAGATTTAAAGATTCTTAATAAAATACAAAGAAGGATCTGTCATGTTATTAGTCCTGACCTGGCATCTCGGCTTCAGTCACTTTCTCAGCTTCTCTGTGTCTTTCTTTAAATATTTCCATAGTAACTGTTCTAGAATAAGAGGAAAATATATTATTGAAATATATTCATTATTGTAGGATTACCCCACTTGTCTGCCAAGGAGCTTCTACTAACGACTTTTCAGTCATGTTGTATAAAACACTATCTAGAGAAAAGGAGGCACTGTCTCTTTCTCGTTTCTCACGCTCTCTTACTCTCTCTCTTCTCGCTCGCTTCTTGTCACTTTCTATCTCTTTCTACTTTCCTCTCTTCTCATTCTGTCTTTCTCCCTTCTCTCTCGCTTCTCCCTTTCCCTCACTTCGCACTGTCTCTCTCTTCTCACTCTCTCACTTCTAGATCTCTCTTTCTCTCTCTTCTCACTTTCCTCTCTTCTCACAGTTTCACACACTCTCGTCTTCCCTCTGTCTCTTTCCACTTCTCCCCATACTCACTCTTTCTATTCTCGTTCTCTCTCTATATATCTGTTCTCACTCTCTCCCTCTTTTTATTCTCCATATAATTAAGAGACTCATTTTAGCTTTTAGAACATTTGTAGCAGTATGGCGACTGAAATATGAAAGGCAAGCATAAATGTGGTATTTGGGTGAAAGGGACAGTGTTCGAGATGGGGGGGAGTCAGTAATTGTGATAAGTTAGGTTAATGGATAGGACAATGAGGACCAGCCTTTCCCCGACTCTATTCTTCTCACTGTCTCTCTCTTTTCATTCTCTCTCTTCTCCCTCCCTCTCTTCTCACTCTCTCTTCTTCAGTAATTGTGATAAGTTAGGTTAATGGATAGGACAATGATGACCAGTCTTTCTCCTACTCTCTTCTTCTCACTCTCTCTCTCTTTTCATTCTCTCTCTTCTCTCTCCCTCTCTTCTTCTCACTCTCTCTTCTTCAGTAGTTGTGATAAGTTACCTTAAAGGATAGGACAATGATGACCAACCTTTCCCCTACTCTCTTCTTCTCACTGTCTCTTTCTTTTCATTCCCTCTGTCTCTTTCTCTCCCCCTCTCTCTCTCTCTTCTCCCTCCCTCTCTTCTCACTCTCTCTTCTTCAGTAGTTGTGATAAGTTACCTTAAAGGATAGGACAATGATGACCAACCTTTCCCCTACTCTCTTCTTCTCACTGTCTCTTTCTTTTCATTCCCTCTGTCTCACTCTCTTTCTCTCCCCCTCTCTCTCTCTCTTCTTCCTCCTTCCCTCTCTTCTTCTCACTCTCTCTTCTTCAGTAATTGTGATAAGTTACCTTAAAGGACAGGACAATGATGACCAGCCTTTCCCCTATTCTGCCTTTCTAGTTTTGTGTCAGATTTTCTATCTCTCTAGCTTTACCTACAGTTCAACATATGACTTGTTTTCCCAACCATGTGTTGCATTTTATACTACACAGAACAGAAAGGTCCTCAGCTGATAATTACTATCCTCCCCCCCCCAAAAAAGCCCTTTCCAATATAAATCTATCAACATCAACAGTAGGACTTGCACGAATGAGAACATTTCAATATACACACTTTAGTTTTTCTTTTTATATGAATTCTAATTAGTTTTGCTAAGGCAATAAAATGTTGTTGGGATATGTAAGATATTGTTTTAATTTCATTCGTACCGCTCTTTTCTTTGACATATACACGTCTCTAACGAAATATCTCTACGATAAACTGCTGACCCCGGAAATCACCATGAAGTCGCCCGGAAGGAAAATAAGAAAACAATGTTATTACCCCAAGACGCTACCCTACTTCGCCATAAATAGTAATGAACATAAATGACAAAAAATTAAAAATATTGTGTTACCTATACATACAATTTTCATTTTTTTTAAATTTCATCTTTTTAAATTTCAAATGTAACAGTATTCAGAAGAGATACTCGTAAAACTTTCAGCACTTGCAAATAAATATTTGCATCTGTATTTTTTTTTATATTTTCGACTACCCGTTTCTGACATCAGGGCGCCTTTACTTGAACCGTCTGTGCCATTGACAAACACCAGATTAGATTTCTTCATATTATGTTCACTTCACTATAAGCCATTTTAATAGAGCTGACATTTCACTAACAGTTTTACCAAGCAGTGGATTAACATCACATTTTGTTTTCATACAAAACGTGATGTTAATCCACCGCTCCACATCCGTTTCACTCATTTTGCGCCATTAATATATCATGAGCACGTACAACTTCCTCTACTGCTCGGCAACGGCTACTTGCATGGGTTAAGTTTATTAACCGAACGACACACTGAGGTCACTCTGGGAATTAAATAGATCTCGTAGAATGGAATTTTAGTTTAAATACTGAATTGATGTTTGTGTCGAGAACCGAAGACTTTAATGAGCCTTTGTGTTTCTCTTAATAATGAAGACTGTGTTCTTTCCAAATGTTTCAAATATTTTGTTACATTAGAATGCGTATTTATCTTCAAATATGCAACTTTACTCTCTAAACAATCGACTCTTTTCTCATTGTCAGACTTCGTTTTTCTCTATTTATTTGTCAATTGGGTTCAGTTTGTTGTTTTTTTTTAAACTATTGAAAAAAATATGAAATTCTTGATGAAAAGAATTGTCATCAAACTGAATTGATCCTTTATTTATATTGAAAGGTTTTTGACATAAAGAAATTGATCCAGTGATTTCAATGAATAAATATTTGAAAGTTTTCGACATTTCTTTCTAAATGACCTTCCAATGACCTCTATCAAAGAATTAGTAGTGGTTATGTATTCAGCCATGATTGTCTGTTTGTCCATTCAATAATGAAATTTTATGGATTGAGGAGTCATGGGCCAAGGACATGAGCCAATTTTGTGGATCAACTCCAGAATTTAGTCAATATTTTCGGTGAGATATTTTATATATTAAGAAAAAAAGAAAGAAAAAAAAACACAGAGGAAATTAAACTAAAAGAAATACAGGTCAAAATAAATAACGATTAAAAATGCTTTATCTAATATTAATATACTTCACCATAAGGTTACTACTAATGTAATAACAAGCAAGTGAAATTAAGATGAAAGAAATCCTAGTCACAAATTAATAATGACTGACAATGCTTCATCTAATAATAATAAAATGCAAGTTCATATTACTACTAATATAATAAAAAGCAAGCGAAAGTAAGATGAAAGAAACCATAGTCCAACATTATTAATTTTAAAATACTCCAAAGAAGAATGATGCCTAATGTTTAAAATGCATTTTAAAAATCGAAAAATCTTTTTTGAAGATTTGATTTTAGTTTTAATTTCAAGCTAATAAGTTAAATTTAATAATTCCAATAAGTAAAATACATTGCTGCATTTCAAACTGAATTTAAATTGATTGAAATCATTTTTTTAATGTCAGTACGCGCACTAAAATCGTTCAACATCTGTCAGCACAACGTAATTATCTTTATTAAAAATCTTTCAAAAATTAATATACTTTTCTGAAACTTTATTTGAGGGATATTAGATGATTTAAAGTTTTGAAACAAATACTACTTTTAGTTTAAAATATTGTAGAAAAGTAATTTTATCAAAGAGGTACGTATTTTTATGACGTGTTGACAACATTCTCGATAGACATACGTTTTGGATTTTTTTTCTGATAGTGACATAACTGCAACGATTATTTGATGAATATAACGTGAAAGCCTTTTTAAATATAATTTATTTTTAACTACGCAGTAATATTAAAAATTGAAGAAAATATTGCAAAAAATCTAATTTCATAGAATTTTAGGTACTTTGGCTTTAGAGTTTTAATTACAAAGACGATTTTTGAGAAAGTGCTAGAAAATTAACAATACATTTTAAATTTTCTATAGTTACTGCTCTTATTTTCTGATAATGTCATGTGAGGCCGTTCGTATTTACAAAAGTCGACATGTTTATATTTCCATGAAATAAATTCAAAATTATTTTAAAAATATTACGATCGTTGAATTCTAGTGAGCATTTTCATTCATGATAAATAAATACAGTCCTCTATCAATTGACCACTATAATGTAGACAGAATTTATACAGTAGTTTAAAAGATAACTAAAAAGAGATTTATAAATTATTGTAATTAAAATAAAAATAAAAGAAAACAATTCTTGTAAAAATTAATTAATAACAATTTTTTTCTTAAAACAACAGTGTCAGTAATACATTTTTCTTAAAACAATAGTGTCCATAATATATCTTATTCATAAAAGGAATTTAAAAAAAATTAATTAAATAATGCCTTATTTTTATTTTATTTTATTTATTTTACGTTTCAGAGCAGATATTCTGGAACTGCTGGCCCTGTTTGACGAAAAAAAAATTCATGATTAAAATTCTCCTATAATTTGACCGTATAACTAAAGTCATATAGGAAGAAAATGAGTAACTACCGACATTGAGGTTCGAGCGTGGCACTCTGGACTTATGAATATATGTTTTCCGCCAGGTGTATAAATAGCGGTGTCAGACTACTGACTGAAGTGATTATTAAGTGGAACTATCCAGTCGAATTAGTGTGAATTATTTTGCGTCGATGATTTGGGTCTTGATTTAAGATTTACCGAACAGAGCCGCGCTACTAACAAGGTATTCACTGAAATGGTTAATTATCTTTGGTTGACATTTTAATTCTTTGTTTTTGTTAAGTATTTATTTGCGGTTCTAATTAAATACTGGTTTATTTTAACTATGAAGTCTTGAGTCATATTTAATTATTAACGGCCACCATACGTCACAAAACCACTATAAACATTAATCGCTAAAAAGGTGAACTTCTTAAAATGAAATAAGTGTTGAGAAACAGATGTATAAAAAATATTTTTCCAAAGATTTTCTAAAAAAGAAACATTTGAAAAATAATTTATTTGTGAATAAGTTCTGAAAGTTTCACTAAAATCCGGCAATTATCTGATTTTTACAAGAATTTTCAAATCAATGAGGGTTTCACCGCAAAAAGACGTTAAAATGTCTCATACTAATTTATGGTACAATGCTGACATCAGAGAAACGAGATTTTTAACCAAAACGTCGAGGGTTCTAAAAAAAAAAAAAGAAAAAAAAAAGATGAAGTACCAGCACAGAAAACGCAATACCTAAGGTTTAAAATGAATTTTTAAAAAATAAGAAATCTTTCTTGAAGATTTTATTTTAGTTTTAATCCGAAGCAAATAGATTAGATTTATTATTTTCAATAAGCAAAATACTTTGCTGTCTTTCAAAACTAATTCAAATTAACTGGAAGAAGTTTTCGTTTTGAGATTGCTAATATAATAGTTGACATAGGTACTACCATAGAAACGTGATACCTAAGGTTTAAAATGATTTTTTTGTAAACTGGAAAATCTTTCTTGAAGCATTTATTTTAGTTTTAATCTCAAGCTGATAGATTAAATTTAATATTTCCAATAAGTAAAATACTTTGCTGTATTTCAAAAACTAATTTAAATTGACAGGTAAAAATGTTTTTGCTAAAATAGCAGATTAGCGACCTATTTACGGAAGTTTTAGAGATAACTAAAAAAATATAATTTTTACATCAAAATGTGCATAGACCTTTCCTCTTAATAGTAACATTGAGATTTTGGCGATAAAACTTTGTTTTTATTAAGTGCTGGGGAATTTTCTTTGATCTTGTATGTTCAGATTTTAGTGAATCTTTGGATTCTATACTGATGTAATAAAAAGCAAATGAAATTAAGAAATCCTAGTCAAAAATGAATAATTTAACAATAATAAGAAAAAAAATAAAAGACAATAAAAAAAAGCAAGCGTTGTTAATATGAAAGAAACACTAATAGAAAATATGAAATTGTGGACGAAAATAATTGGCATAAAACTGAATTAATCTCTTCTCTACTCTTTAAAAGGTTTTGCTAAAAAGAAATTGATCCAGTGATCTGAATAAATGAATATTTGAAAATTTGAAAACAAATGAAACGTCACGTTGAAATAAATTCCCTCAAACTAACTCTTTGATCGTCATCTGAGTAGACAGTTATTAAAATGGGAGCTTGTATTTATATTCTGACAAAAAAAAGGTGAGTGTAGGCTTGAATGGAGTTCGCGTAATACGTTGCGTAGAATATACAAAGATCAAGTTTGTTTTCAAACCCAAGTTTAGAAGCAACTGTACGACATTGAATATTGCTTGTCTGAAAAGATGCAGCAATTCGAGAGGAATTAGTTCATAAAATGGAGTTGGTAAATTTTGAAAATGAGTTTAAAATACCATGTATTGTAAATAAATAATGCTTGTATCGATGTTCTTGGGTTTGCCAGGCCTGGACCATTTATAAAGAGATTTGTATTTGAAGTTTTTTGTTTTGTTTTTTTTTTTGTTTTCACTCCAAACAAGGTGATAAAGCTAGTAAGATGCAATGGATTAGAGAAGATGAAAGTGTTGATACCTTCACTAATTCACCTTAAAAAAATAGCATGATGAAAAAAGGCCCGTAACTTAATAAAAATAAAGTTTTATTGTCAAAATATTCTTGTTCTTATTAAATGGAAAGACGAAAGTAATTTTTGATTATTTTATTAAATGTTTTAATAATCCTTTTTAACATGTTCGAAATTTTAGTTAATTTTTTTCTGTGTGTCTCAATGAAAAGTAGTATAGGAAGTTTTTGTGTCTTTTTTTGTTATAAAAAGCATTGTTTTGGAAATTCTTTCAAAAATCAAATAATTGTCGGATTTTAATGAAATTTTCAGGACTTATTGACTAATGAATGAGATTATTTTGTAAATATTTTCTTTTTAGAAAATCTTGTCAATTTTTTTTTTTTTTACATCTGTTAGCCCTTCATTAATCAATTTTAAGAAATTTCAAGAAATAAAATTTCTTCGATGAATAATGAATTTTTACAAGAATTATTTTGATTTAATTAGTTTTATAGTTGACAGGAAAGCATGAATCTGGAGGAGAGTCCCTTAGGTAAGATGAGGCGAGAGAAGAAACTATTAGAATAAAACATACGGTTGCATTTAGCAATTTGAACAGAAAAAATGAAGAGACCAAACTGGCAATCTCGTACTGCGCTTAAATTCATGAAGTTCACGTAGCAAATACTTCTTTGTAGAAAAGGCAGAGGGAGTCATGTGACGATAAAAAGCAATAAACGGAATGACCAATTAGTTTTGTTACGAGCTATTTCTTCAATTATTGATAATGCCCAAGAGCCACTCGAGGTAGAGGCTTACAGATTAAGAGGTACAGTTTATAGTGTGGAAGATAACAGTTGACCCTAAACTTGAAAAGGTTAAGATTGTAGCGATTGGGAAAACATCCTCTTGGGAGCCGGTTCTACAAAGCAGCGGCTCGTTGGAATAAAATGCTCGAGTGGAACTTAGGTCTCATAAATGGAATACAAAGGGAATGTAGGTGGTTCGTTACAATGGGGGTGGCATAGCAGGTCTTAGCCGTGAAGGTTAGAAATGGTGGATCTAAGGAAGGTAGTTCGTCTGAGCACTTTTCATGGAAATAGCGACAGAAAGGAGAGTGGCTTGCGACGTTGCATCTGTGGGGAAAGGGGGTTAGGCTGGAAAATAATTCATCACCCACAAGGACGCGGACGTATTTTTTGATACTGTAAAAGCTGCCTATATGCGGTAACAGTATTGATCTGGCACGTATGTAAATGCAATGGATTCGAGCCGACTTCGAATGCCAGTCGAATTCATTACATTCACTTACGTACTAATACCCTTGAGAAAGTTATGAATCCTATTCTTCTCCCCCCCCCCAGCTATGGGTAAATAGCAAGACAGACCATGTTCTATTGCATTGGAGGCAACTGGTCTACCTAAAAAAGAAATGACAACCTACTGCGGGAAAATAATCTGCCTCGTCAGTCATGTATCGAAAGATACATGATCGCTTTAGCGTGTGTCACGCATGACACATAACTGACTGATATTCACTTACGTGCTAATACCCTTGGGAAAGTTATAAATCCTCTTCTTCTCCCCCCAGATATGGGTAAATAGCAGGACAGACGGGTTCTATAGCCTTGGATGGTAATGGTCTACCGCAGAAAGAAATGGCAATCTATTGCGGGGAAAAATCTGCCTCGTCAGTCATGTATCGAAAGTGAGTATAATGTATGGCACATAACTGACTGACTAATTGATCTGGCTCTTGCAAAGATAGAGGATAGAAGGTGGAGTCGGGTACTTACTGGAGCGGTACAGGAAACCGATCATTGTCCAACCATCTTTATCGATATGCAAGAGTTCCTCTTGAGATAGGGTTGGCTGGCTGATTTGTTTTTGGGCATATCAACCTATATTGGTTATTTAATGCCGAAATCTAAATATTTTGAACACAATGGTTTCAACTAAATATATTTTGAACCGCTCCAGTAAGAACCCGACTCCAACATCTATGCTCTATCTTTGTAATACTAACCCTTCAACAACCGATAAAATGTATTGTTGGTCATTTTACTCTAAGATGTATCGTTAGTGATTCTACTATAAAATGCATTGCCAATCATTTTGTTTTAAAAATGTCTTACTAGTAATTTTACTATAAATATATATTGTTGGTCATTATTTATATATAAAAAAGTATTGCTGCTATTTTTAGTATAAAAATGCATTTTTATATTTTCCTAGTATTTTGTTTGAGATGTTCACTGTTTGCCCATAGCTGGGACCCTAACAGGTGCTACCACCCCGGGTCAGGGTGGACTTGGGAACAACAGCAATTAAGAGGTGGTTTCATGTTCCTCAAATATAACAATCAGAGGCCTTGCTGCTGGATGGAGTTTATCGTCATACCCAGGATTAATTAAGGTCTTGGGTTGAATTTAAGACTCAATAGGTGCTCAGGACATGGGGTTTCCCTGAAATAATACCCGTTCATCGCGATCAGTGAAAATTCAGGCTATAACATGCAAATTATTACTATATGAAGGTGAATACGTATGGTGGGGTGTGTGTAATGCTGGTAGGTTGAAGTGTCACTCACGAAGCCATAGCAACATCGTTTCTGTTACCGGAAGTAAGTTTATCTGCAGTGTTTGTGGCAGAGTGTGTTCTTGGCTCGGCTCAAATGCCACAGTTGCTCTCTGCAGTGGTGAAACTGAAATGATATATCAAGCGATGTCTGTACTCGGAAATGAGAAGGAGAATGAGCCCTAGATGAGAAGACATATCATGTTGAGCATACATTTGTAGCAGTCAGAGATAAATCAAACGGCAAATGATTCTTATGAACCTTCTCGCTTTCTCATTAAAGTAGCCAAGCGGAAATGGCACTGAATGTGACTGGTATTTGAAGTGAAAAGACGACGTAAATTAAATAGGAGATACAAATTGACTTGTGGATGTCAAGGGACGACCGTAGAAAAAAAGAAAATCAGATATGGAAGCGGATTTCTTTTTCATCCAGGAGAAAGAACGCATGCGCATTGAAACATTGTCGCACGGCTTCCCCCCCTTTTGTTTAACTTTCTTTCTTTACTTTTCCTTTCTTCCTTTTTTTCTTTCATTTTTTTTTTTTTTACCCTGTTTTTTTTTCTGTCTTTACTTTTCCCTTGTTTGTTTTTTGTTTCTTTTTTTCTTTCTTTCTTTCTTTCTTTACTTTTCCTTGTTTTTGTTTTTCTTTCTTTCTTTCTTTCTTTCTTTACTTTTCTCTTTTTGGTTTTTCCTTTTTCTTTTTCTTTCTTTTATTTTTAGTGTTCTCTTTCTTTTCTTTTTTACTTTATTTACTTGTGTCTTTCTTTTCTTCTTTCTTTCCTCGTTTTCATTTCATATCTTTCTTTCTTTCTTTCTTTCTTTCTTCGGGATCACATGAGAATATTGAATTTCCTTTCTTTCTTTGAATATTTGGTGGAAAGTGCTTAATGGAGAAATGTTTGTTTGATGAATATTTTTCCTACGTTTGGTTTAACATTTTTTGTTGTACGGTAGGTTGAACCATATGATGTTTCTCTTCCTGTTGGCCTTTTTTGTGCTGTGGGGTGTGTATGAGAGTATTAACGGGAATTTGTTACCTTTAGTGCTGTTTCATAGTCTTTCTTAGCTTTGTAAAATATGGTTTCATTGGAAGAACTGTGGTTAATTGATTTTAGCAGGATATTTTTATCGTGAGCAGGCAAATAAGATTCTTACATAGGCAACCGAGTCAACCTATCTTTGCTGGATCGAACCGGACAAAAATCGAAAAAACGTAAGTTACCTCCCTTGTAAAGAAGTAAAAAAAAAAACATTTTGAATTTACGGTGTTAACGCGCAACACATTCATAGATATGCAAGCCTTGAAAAGGGTCTCAGATAAGATTGAAAGTACTTGGGAAAATAAATATTTTCATAATCAATTTTCTACAGCCACTAAAAAAATAATTAGTGGACTTGAAAGGATTAAAGCAAAAATAAATAGGCATAATACGTCTAAATTATTTAACCAAACATGCTTGAATGAAAATATTGTACCTATCTATCTATATATCTATATCTATCTACCTCTCTCTCTCTCTCTCTCTATATATATATATATATATATATATATATATATATATATATATACCATGAAAACAACAAACCTAAATTACAGATCCTAGAAGCAATTTATATTAAAAAATTAAAGCCGTCATTGAACAGAATTAACTATGAATACTGCAATAATGTTCTGAAATGCCTGTAAATAAACAGTTTTTCACACTTTAATGCGCACATAACCATGACATTATAAGATAGAGAAAAAAATTCTATAATTGATAATTTTTTCACGTTTTAATGAAAGCTCAGCCCATTGTCAACCGTTTTGCATTTAAAAGTATAATGAAAAAAAATACGGTAATGGATAGCAACGCACAGCGTTGTATAAATACTTATATTAATGAACAACATATAGTTTTGTATTACTTGCACCTCTGAAGATGATCTTGGAAGAAGATCGAAAGTACTTACGAAATTAAAATAAAAGAAATTTAAACAGCTGTAGCACATTTCTCTCATCTTTTATCATCAATAAACGGAAGGTTATTCGTCAGTATGAACGGATTTTGTTAAAAATTAGCAGACCTAATGTCTGTAATTTATTCAATCAGACATATATATATATATATATATATATTATTACACAACAAAATTTAAATTACCTCATATGGGGATAGATCTAATTCAACCGACAAAAACTTCGTCAGTCTTATTCAACCCGTTGTATAAACTGAGTTCCCGCCGGAATTCTATACACGAACTCAGTCTATACACTGGGGTTGAATAAGACTGACGAAGTTTTCGTCGGTTGAATTAGATCTCTCTGCGTTCCCATAGGGGAAACCGTTATTAAATCTGACGTGCTTTAACAGCTCGGTCACAAAGGACCTAGTGTTCAAACAAATATGGGTATCCATTAAAAATAATGTTTAAACAATAAAATAAAAATAACAATTAATAAATGAAAAACCCATCCCTCAAAATATGCAAGACAAAAGTAGGCTTTTCAACAGAACGAAGGCAAAATGTTTACCAATTAAGAATGGTGTTAACACCCAAAAGTGATACAGACAAGCGATCGCAGCATTTTAACTTCAAGACAAGACGGAACAAGAATATGGCGGATGAGACCGCGAAGTTGTCTATGTTATTAGCTTGGAGGAAATCCCAGCATGTATCTGTATGCTTTGCCTATAAATTTGGGGAGAGGTATGTTTTTACAGTCATTTCTCTGGATCGCTCATGTTTGCCGAGTTAAAGTGAGTAACTGTTCACGGATTCTGTAGATATGCCCAACCTCCCCAGTTTGCTTTTGTCCCCCCGCTTTTTATCTTGGATAGTTCAGACTTTGTTTTTTTTTCCCCGCTCTAATGTTTAATTTATCCTCTCCAAATCCATTAGTGAGTATGCAGCTTAATTCTGCCGCACGGCAGAATACATTGGTCTCTCTCATTATTTTGAGGGGTGGACGGGTCCTACTAACATCTGTTTTTTTTATTTTTATTTTGTTTCATTCTTTAGTTTTGTTTTCGGGTTCATTCCCTTTCCCCAACATTTTTCATTATTATATATTTTTATATAATTTTTGAAAAAAAAAAAGAAAAAATTACTAAAATGTTATTGTAAATTTTTACATGATAGGGTGTTTTGTAGGCCCCTTGTGAATATGTGGTACTATGGTACATGTAGGATTGAGAGGTGATAGACAAGTTCTTGTAGTGATTGAGGATATTGTATTGAATAAATGGGTCTTGATTGTGGTTGACTAGGATAGTTACTGAGTACCAGTCTTTCCCCACTTCCCCTTCGGTCTTGTGACACAATTTTTGTAATTTTAAAAGACTAAGTATTTATTCCTCTGGATGACTAATGTTTGCCAAGTTAAAGTGAGTAACTGTTGTTCCCGGTCTCTTTCCTGATTTTCTCTTTTATGATCCATGTCGAGATGCCCAACCTCCCCAGTTTGTTTTTGTCCCCCTTTTTATCTTGACTAGATCAGTCTTTGATATTTTTCCACCCCGAGAAATTAGTTTTGTCTCTCCCTTGCATATTTATTGTATGTAAAAATACAATTGTGGCACGTGGCCAAAAAAGTGGGGGGTGTTGAGGCTTGTCGATACTAGCTATCTTATACCTAGCCAATCCGATTCACGACCCATTCACTCGTTAAAATTTCCACATTCACCATAAAAACTCGTCCGTCACCAGTCAATCCTCCATACGCTATAATACCGCATCCTCTCAAGGGGGTCTTACAAAAACGCGCCCCATGCCATAAAAATTTAATGATTATAAATTGTTATACAGAGTGCGGCTGATATTTGAGGACAGATTTTATGGATTAGTAAAAAAAAAAAACTTGCGGAACAAATGAATATAATTATATTTGATTACAAACAAGTAAACATAAAATTTAGCTAACTATTATTTAATTTTATTCAATAAAACCACCACTAGCATCAATAACTGCCTCTACACGAGGTCAAAATCGGCTGCAAGCTCTGATTAATTGGTCCTTATTTATGTCAGACATTACTCGAACTATTGCAGCTTTAAGAGGGTCTTTGGTGTTATGAGGCTGTTTATTAACCTCCTTCTCAACAATGCTAGTGGATTGAGACCTGGAGAGTTAGGAGGCCAAATGTTGGGTGTGATATGGTCGTACAAATGGTCATTCATCCATTCTTGTGTTCGTAGAGCCTTGTGTGATGGAACCGAGTCTTGCTGGAATAAATAAGGCCTGCCGTTGCATATGTTGGCATTCCAAGGCTTGACAACTGTTTCTAGAACCTCAATATAAGCAGCAGCATTTACTCTATGACCTTGTGGAAAAAAGTGTGGTGGCATAACATGTCCTTAATTGCTAACAACACCCGATACCATAACAATTGAAGGAAAATTTTGTGCGCATCACTCTTAGCACCTTCAGAAGGATCTGAACAAAGCCATCTGTCATTTCTTCTGTTAAGTTTTTGATCTTGATCAAAATTTTTCTCATCTGAGAAAAACCAAATCACACCAGGTTTTGAAGGATTTTTAAGTTTGTTTAAAAGACTTTTGGATCTGTTTAAACGGTTTTCTTTTGTTTTTGTTTTTTTCAAACATAAATTGACCTCTCTTCATCACGGAGGACTTGTATCGAATGTCTTCATGAACACACCTTCTGATTGTTTTTTCAGACACATGCAGCTTTTTGGCAATTGACCTCATTGATTGACCTCGGTTTTCATCAATTGTCTGCCTGACTTCCTGAATAAATTCGGATGTTCTTACTTTATCAGAACGTGCAGAATGTCTTTTACGTTTTGATACAGACATTGGGAAACTGTCAACATCAAACGATCTTGCAAACGATCTTGAAGAAACGTGCAATATCCAAATCGTTATGATCAGCCTTTAATGCCACAATCACAACATGCCTTTTCATTTCATTTGTTATCATAGGGTTTGCCATTCTTGATTTCTGAAAAATAAAAGCATTAGAAGTTAGTGGGAAGCAGTATTAAGCTTAAATCTGTATGTCCTCAAATACCAGCCGCACACTGTATATAAAAATCTAATAATGAAGAATGAGAGGGGAGGGAATGAACCCCCAAAAGAAACTAAACATCAACACAACGTAAACTAAACATAACTGTTTTTAGTAGAGCCCGCTGTCTCTCCCCTGCCTTGAGTGAGCGAACTTGTTGAGTCTACTTATAGACAGCGGTTGCTCTTATTTTTGTGGGGTAGATGGGTCCTACTAAAATATTTTATTTTTAGTTTGAATCTTTTGTCATATTTTAGTTTGCTTTTCCCCTCCTCCCTCATTTCATATCATTAAATTTTATATAGTTCTATAAAAAAAATTGGCAAAAAATAAAAAGGGTGTTTTTCTATTATGCAATTTTTATGTCATGGCAGTTTTTTCGGCTTCCTGTGAGTACGTGGTATTGTGGTTGATGTTGGAATGAATGAGTTGTGATTTTGATTAGTTAGGTCTGGGATGATTACAACAGACCAGCCTCTTTCCACTTCTCCATCGGCTTTATGTCAAAATTGTTCATTGGAAGCAATGAATACATATTCCTTTAGATTGAAACCGACATTATTGCACGAACGAATTCAACTGTTGCGATTTGATGTAATGAATATGCATACACCTGGGTTCTCCCTCGCAGTAATATGATTGGCTGGTGTCAGCCATAAATACAGACTGAAGTGTAGGTATATGGACTACGCCTATTGTCTTCGCCTATTGCCTACGCCTATTGCCTACCTCTACGACGAGGACCAGTCCATTACGGTTGCCTGCTAGATTGTCCTACTGGGTTACAGTCGTCAACAACCATTTTGCTACTTCGAACAAATATATCCCGAGACATATCACGATTAAAGAGCCAAGATGAGGGACATATTGCAGTGACTTTGTGGTAAACTCAGTACAGCTAAGTAAATGTGGTGTGTCAACCGTACACACTAGTTCGTATGTTCATTATTCAATTGAATTCGCTTAAGTGGATTGAAAGTGGGCATTACAGATTTCACTGTAGTCGATTCGTCAATGTCGGCCTGTAGAAACGAATCAGGCAAGCGACATGGTTGGAAAGTGTGTGAAAAAAAATGCGCTACTATGGGTTGACCCAAGCATTGTGATTGAAATTAGGCAGACGGTGTTGCAAAGCCATCAGGTGGAAGTCTCAAGGCAATCGGGACAGAGTTTGAAAAGTATTGGCTTTGTTCGGCTAACGATAACGTCAGATTATTGACTCTTTCTCTTTCTGTCTTCATCTCTCTCTTTCTATCTTTCTTTTATCTAATCCATCCTATCTCTTTCTCTCTCTGTCTTCCTCTCTTTCTATCTCTCTTTCTTTCTCTCTTTTTCTTTTTCTCTCTCTTTCTCTCTTAGTCTTTCTCACTCTTCCTCTTTCTTTCTTTTTCTTTCTTTCTTTCTTTCTTTCTTTCTATCGCTCTTTCTCTCTCTCTGTCTTTCTAACTCTTCCTCTTTCTATCTCTCTCTCTTTTTCTCTTTCTCTGTCTCTCTTTATATCGCTCTTTCTCTCTCACTGTCTTTCTTTCTCTTTCTCTTTCTATCTCTCTTTCTTTCTCTTTCTTACTCTCTCTGTCTTTCTCTTTTTGCTATAGCTCTCTCTATATATATCTTCTCTCTCTCTCTCCCCTCTCTCTCTCTCTCTCTCTCTCTCTCTCTCTATCTGAAACTGTAACTAAGTTTAAATCTTTCCTGGTAATTCACCCGAAAATAAAAATTTATATTTACTAAAATTTACACCAAATTCGCCCAGAGTGAGCCTCTTCCATTGCACTCTAGTTGGGTTGGCCTTTCTGATCACCCCAAATATGGGCAACTCAAGTGCTCAAGTGTGGGGTCACCGTTCGCGCCTACCTCGATAAACAAGCCAAAAACAGATTTTTTTAAAAAATTGTAATAAAATCCTTGTAAGTACCTTGAATATAATCTGCACTTACAAAATGTGAATAACTCCCTGACTTTTGGTAATTTTTCATTTATTTTTAAGGGTTGGAGCTGTTATGAGGCAAGCTAAACAAATTTTGATTTATAATTTATAATTTCAAAACAGTTCCAACATTTTAATAACAAACAAACATTGATTTTAAAATTTATAACTTCTGGGGAATTAATATTTGCAATAAGTAACTTTTATTATTTAGGTGGGGTGGTAACAGAAAAAATACTAAGTTTATAGTTGCACCATAAACCACATGTTAGCGCTGTGTGCCTTGTAGAAACAAAATCCGTCTGAGCAGGCGTCAGCAACAGGGATTAGTTAACCATCCAAACATAAATGCATAAACGGAAATGACCAGTACGAAGGGTCGAGCTTCACTTAAAAAACATTATTGATCTTGTGCCAGACTAAGCTAATTTTAGTAGACAGCGCTATCATCATCTCCAGAAGCTGCTTATAGTAGATGACAGTGTTATTTGTAAGAGGGAATCATCCGCAGACCTTGTGACCTGACTGTTATTCACTGATGCCCTTTACTCAATTAATCGGATTGTGTCGCAAGATCACAGCCTGACCTGTTTTCAATCGACAACGTTATAATTATTCATTACATTGTGTTATTATTTTGGTGTGAAATGTAAAACATTGACCCGTGAGTAATTAGGATTTACAACTGTGTTATAACGAAATAATTGCGATCAGGTGCGCTTAGCTTTCTGTTCATCATTGTACATTATCTATCTATCTATCTATCTATCTATCTATCTATCTATCTATCTATCTATCTATCTATCTATCTCAGTCTCTTCATCTATCTATATCCCCTCTGTTCATATCTATCTATCTATCTATCTATCTATCTATCTATCTATCTCTCTATCTATCTATCAATCTATCTATCTATCTCAGTCTCTTCATCTATCTATATCCCCTCTGTTCATATCTATCTATCTATCTATCTATCTATCTATCTATCTATCTATCTATCTATCTATCTCAGTCTCTTCATCTATCTATATCCCCTCTGTTCATATCTATCTATCTATCTATCTATCTATCTATCTATCTATCTATCTATCTATCTATCTATCTATCTATCTATCTCAGTATATGAACATCTATCTATCTCAGTATATTAACATGTATCTATCTATCTCAGTATATGAACATCCATCTATCTATCTATCTATCTATCTATCTATCTATCTATCTATCTATCTATCTCAGTCTCTTCATCTATCTATATCCCTGTTCATATTCATCTATCTATCTATCTATCTATCTATCTATCTATCTATCTATCTATCTATCTATCTCAGTATATGAACATCTATCTATCTCAGTATATTAACATGTATCTATCTATCTCAGTAAATGAACATCTATCTATCTATCTATCTATCTATCTATCTATCTAGTATATGAACATCTATCTATCTCAGTATATTAACATGTATCTATCTATCTCAGTATATGAACATCTATCTATCTATCTATCTATCTATCTATCTATCTATCTATCTATCTCAGTATATGAACATCTATCTATCTATCTATCTATCTATCTATCTATCTATCTATCTATCTATCTATCTATCTCAGTATATTAACATCTATCTATCTATCTATCTATCTATCTATCTATCTATCTATCTATCTATTTCAGTCTATTAACAGCTATCTATCTATCTATTTCAGTATATTAATATCTATCTATCGATGTCAGTTTTATGAATATGTGTTAAACTTTTCAAATCTATCTATCTTAGTATATTAGCATCTATCTATCTATCTATCTATCTATCTATCTATCTGTCTATCTATCTATCTATCTATCTCAATATCTTAATATCATTCTATCAATCATTCTATCTCTCTCTTTCTTTATATATATATATATATATATATATATATATATATATATATATATATAAAAAGAAAAAAAAAGAAAAATTGAGAACTATGAACAATCAATTGCAATCACTCTGTTCACTCCCATAAGAAGTGAACGGGATCTCAGCATATTAACATCTATCTATCTATCTATCTATCTATCTATCTATCTATCTATCTATCTATCTATCTATCTATCTATGTTGGTCTCTTCATATATATCTATCTTAATTCACTAAGATCTTTACCTGTTAACACTTATTCTTATTCTTAACATTATTATTATTATTATCCTATTATAAGTGTGCTTGTCATTCCCTTCGTTACTTAACACGACCATTAAGCCCCGCCAATACCTCATTAATAATGGATTGTTTTATCTGTCATTTATCCCCTTACGCATGAATTAATCAATAATAGCCAGAGTTACAAACAAAACAAGAAAGTACCCAATCGCCCACTCTACATGGATGATCTCAAGCTCTTTGCTAAAGACGACAACGAGTTGAAGGATCTCCTCAATACTGTAAAATGTTTCAGTGACGTCATTGGTATAGATTTTGGATGAGATAAATGTGTAAAAGTAACATTCAAGAAAGGAAGAATTACAGAAAGACACTCAATAGATTTAGATTTTGTCACAAAGATTAAGGAATTGGAACAAGAAGCCAATAGGTACCTAGGAATTAGCGAAGGAGATGGAATACAATATACCCAAATGAAAGAGAAAGTAAGAAAAGATTACGTGTACGTTTGGTACTAAATACCGAGATGAATTAAAAAAAAAAAAACAACAGAATATCAGCCATAAACACCTTAGCTGTCTTCGTGGTGCAATACAATTTTAACATCCTTAACTGGGCTATAGCTGACATTAAGCGAATGAACGTCAAAACGAGGAAGCTTCTAACTTGCCACCACATGCATCATTCGAAGGCTGATGTTGATCGTCTGTATGTACCCAGATCCGAAGGAGACTAGAGGATTAGTTCAACTAGAACTGTCCTACAAAACTATAACAATCTGTCTTCAAAGATAGCTGGAAACTGCAGAAAACTGGATGATGATCTGTTTCAAAGAACATGAAAGAAGTAAGGAACTTTACTCGGTGATAAAGGAAGCCAACAAAATCAATATGGAATTTCGAGTGGGCGATGAAAAGCAAGTAAATACCGAAATGAAGGAGAATGAAAGAAAGGAATACTACAGGCGTGTGTGTCTGGTACTGGATACCGAACTGAATTCACGAAACAAAAATATCAGCCATAAACACCTTTTGTACCTGTGGTGCAATACAGTTTCAACATTCTTAACTGGTCCTTAGCTGATATTAAGCGAATGGACACCAAAACGAGAACGCTTCTCACTTGCTACCACATGCATTATTCTAAGGCTGATGTTGATTGTCTGTATGTTCCCAGATCCGAAGCAAGCAGAGAATTAGTTAAACTAGAACTGTCTTACAAAACCACACCAATCGCTCTTCAAAGATACCTGGAAACTAGAGAAGACTGGATGATGATCAGTGTCAAATAACGTGAAAGAAATAAGAAACTTTATTTAGTAATAAAGGAAGCCGACAAATTCAAAAGGGAATTTCAAGTGGGTGAAGACATGCAAATAAACCATAATCCACATACGGAAGTGACAAAGAAACTAAAGAAGACAGCTAAAGCAAATGCAATGTACCAAATCGATAATTCCAGTTGTAGTTTGGATTGATTGGAAAAGGTTCCGATAGATTCATTGAAGGGATTCCTGGTAACCAATGCCTTAAAAAATATATAATTGTACTCACAAGTAGAGGTCACACATTACGAAGAGCTTTATCTATGTAAAATGTGGGGGATCTTTGTTTTGTTTTGTTTTTAACAAGAATGCTCTGTGGAAACTGTCATGAAGTCATTTCTAACCTTAGGTCTCTGGTTGGGACCTGGAAAGAAATTTGTATACAACAGAAATCAAAGGGAGAAATAATAATAATAATAATAATAATTACTTCAACTAGAAATGTCTTACAAAACCATACCAATCGCTCTTCAAAGATACCTAGAAACTACAGAAGATTGGATGATGATTTGTGTCAAAGAACGTGAAAGAAATAAGAAACTTTATTCAGTTATAAAGGAAGCCAGCAAATTCAAAAGAGGAATTTCAAGGGGGGGGGTGAAGAATTGCAAGTAAACCATAATCCACTGATTGCAGCTGCAAAATGCTTAAAAAGGAAAGCAAAGGCAAATACAACCGGCCAGATAGAGAAACGATGGCAAGACAAACCTCTTCGTAGTCTGCCCGTATCAAACAAGCTGATGTAAACAAACCCCGTACCAATCAGAGGCGACTTAGTGCAAGGTTAAAAGCTGAAGGTTTTATTCTTGGTGCACAAGACCAATGCTTGCTAACTAGAAATTATCAGGCACACGTACTGAAAAGTGGTGTTAGCCAAAATTGCAGATTCTGTGATAAATATCTAAAAAAAACTATCTTCTACCAGGTTGCACGGTATTGCCAGCGACTGAATATAAAACTCAGCATGGCAGAGTGGATCAACATCCGCACCGGAAGATCTGCAAATTTGACTCAAAGAAAACTGTAAGAGACTGGAATGAACACCAGCCAGACCGGGTGACGGAGATAAGACCTGTAACAATTTTATGGGTTATGACACACAGACAATCAAAGCTAATCGCCCAGACATTGTTATTAAAGACCACAAAGACAAAATGTGCCTTCTTATCGACATCGCAGTCCCTGCAAACTGCAATTTATCTTTCAAGATCTTCAAAAAGCTATCAAAATACAAGGACCTTGAAATCGAAATCTTAAAAATGTGGCACATGAGGACATCAACAATTTCAGTTGTAGTTGGAGCCCTCGGACTGGTTGGAAAACATTTCAGTAGACTAATTGAAGGGAATTCTGGAAGTTCATGCCTTAAAGAAATACAAAAAATTGTTCTCATGAAAACAGCTCACACCTTACAAAGGGCTTTATCTATTTAAAATATGTGTGTGTGTATTAATTGGTCAGTGGAAAATATCATGATGCCGTTTCGAACCATAGGTCTCTGGTCGGGACCCAGAAAGAAATGAGTTTACATCAGATAAACCAAAGAAAATAATAATAATAATAATAATAATAATAATAATAATAATAATAAGGGGGTGCTGAAAAATTATCAGATTGATCCACTTCCCAAAATTTTTCAAAAAGCAAGCATTTTAGAATTCTGAAGGCATTTTTATAATAATAATAATAATAATAATAATAATAATAATAATAATAATAATGGCACATGGGAATATCAACAATCCTTGTTGTAGTTGGAGCCCTCGGACTGACTGGAAAAGACTCCAATAGATTCAATGAAAGGATTCTTGGTAGCCCATGCCTTAAAGAAATGCAAAAAAAAAAATGTTCTCACGAATACAGTCCACACCTTACGAAGGGCTTTATCTATGTAAGTTTTTTTTTTCTTTTTTGTGTGCATTAGTAGAAAATGCCATAATGCCATTTCTAAACTTAGGTCTCTGGTTACGATCCGGAAAGAAATGTGTACACATCAGAAATCAAAGGGAAAAAAAAAAAAAAAAAAAAATAATAATAATAATAATAATAATAATAATAAGAAGAAGAAGAAGAAGAAGAAAGAAGAAGAAGAAAAATGTGACATAGAGGAGTAAGTAATTGTAGAATCATTATTAGATATCTATTATTAGATAAAAGAAATAAAAAATATAATAATTGCTGATATGACTTTCTCTCGCTCAACATGAACAACAAGAATGTTAAATTTATCCATGGAAAGGTTAATCACCACAAACTGTTGCTGAGACTACGATCACGTGACCCGTGAAGATCGTCGGGGCACTACATGTACTGCAGCTGTAGTAGAGTGTCTTGGGCAAGATAATCTGGCGGCCACCAACCGTCTCCAGGTTGCTTCGAATTCAGTGTTTTCGCCTCATCTTTCCAATCATGGCCATAGGAAAATCTGTCCTGCTTATTTATTTTTACCCGGAATTCGAACTCGGTTCTCCGATTTTACACGCGAAGCCGCTACCGATTAAACCACCGTGCGCCCGTTGTCGTTATCGACATAAATATTCACCGAGACTTTTTGACGCACAGAGAAGCACCCAGTCCAGGCCAGGAGACTAGATCCAGTCATCGTAAACAATAAGGTTAATAAATTGAAATGCTGGAGACTGCGCGGATATTGAGAAAACTACAGGAGGTACGTAGCTGAATCAAAAATGCCCATTCCACACTGTTGACTCGTCATATTTGATGTGTTTTCTCGTTTTTGTTGTCTTCATCAAATATCTCGCTTCTGTACTCTCTGGCCTCCCTCAGTGGACACACAGACGCAATTACAATAAACATGTTTACTTAAGTCATTCTTTTCACTTCCAAGTGCTTTCCTCTTTCTCTCTTCCTCAGCGCCACTTGAATAAATTAATAAAAGTTGCTATTTGTTCAGTAACAAGTTTGAGTAATTTCGTTTCTTTAAAATGTTCGTAAC